GAATTAGTGCGACAACTGTTGGCCAACACCGGCACCGATGGCGGGCCCACACATGTGATCGCCACTACACGACAGGCCACTAATGCGGCGTTGGATGAGCTCCGGGACCGACACTCAAACCTACATGTCCTACAACTGGACGGTACGGACTATAAGAGTTTTGATGGCTTTGCCAAACAAGTGGCCGATATTGTGGGCGACAGGGGTTTGGATACACTCATCAATAACGCCGGCATTTATCTAAAGCAAAGACTGAATGAGACAACCGCTGAAGATATGGTGACTAACTTTAAAGTCAATTCCGTGGGACCACTGATGCTCACCAGAGCTTTGCTGCCAGTGCTTAAAGTAAATTAATTTGCTACTTAACATAACTGGTTTAAACATAATGATAAATCTGTTATTAATTAATGATAAACTAATATTTAAAATATATATATTTTAATTAACTAATGTAGAAATCAGCGGCAGCCAAGCGCAAAACCATCATTGTTAACATTACTTCTCAACTGGGCTCGATCCAGAACATTGACAAATTCAAAATGGCAATGTTTTACCCTTACATTGTAAGCAAAGCCGCGTTGAACATGATCAATAAATGCTTGGATGTAGATCTGGCTTCCTATGGCATCAGGTCGGTGGCTATTCACCCTGGTCACGTGGCCACAGACATGAGTCCGCACGGCACGTTTACCCCGGAGCAAAGTGTGACCCAGGTACTACGCACTGCTAACACTGTTAAGGATTCCGATTATGGCAAGATGCTTAATTATGATGGTGCTGTGTTGCCATTTTGATTGGTTATTAAAAGTACTAAAATTACTGTATTATTTGTTAGCATAATACTAAATTGTTTCAATATTAGTTTTAAGTTAACAAAATTAATTTTTAAAAATATTTGTTTGACATTTATTAATTTTTATATTCAATAGAATTCAAACTAATTTAACCAATGGTCTGGTATTTCAATATGTTTTTTATTTTAAAAAAGTGTTTTAAAATTTTATTTTTTTGTTCTTTGAAAAGAATTTATATCTAAAAATTTTACTGTATTTCCGTGACTTAAATTAAATTTTTTGATATTAAAACAAATAAATTTTAAAATGAAAATAAATAAAATTTTTTAACACATTATTTTGTGACGGAAGTCGGGCTTCCGTTCGCTGCGGAGAAAACTTAACGGACGGTATTCGGGACTAAGGTATTGGTTGGCGACTAAGGCTACCGTCGGATTTGTCGGATGCGTTGAGAGGTTGTGGTGATAGCGAACGGATGAGAAGTCCTGATCGTAGGACCTCTGATATGGGCACAAGATATGAATGGATGACTGTACAGGGTGTCCGGGATATATGACCACACTGCGTTTTCCCATAGAAAAGCATTAAATGACTATTGTATTTTAAAAATGTGTAGATCAGAAATCTGAAGGCCGATTTTAATAAACTCGGTTGTTTTCAAACAAGTATATAATAATTTTTATAATCAGATACCCAATATTTATTTTTGCAAAAATCCCTGAATATTTAGCAATATTTTATATATTATTTTGAAATATTCAAATGTTTATAAATACTTATGTATTATATAAAAGACATAAAATGTGGTCATATATCCTGGACACCCTTTATGTATGGACACGTATTAGAAGTCTGTGAAGCGATGCTGAGGAGAAGTCACTGTATGAATAAGAAGTAATGAATGAAAATGGGCAGCACTTGGTCTGTATGAATTTTCTCTCGTTTCATTCTTCATTTATTGATGTATTTATGAATGCTTTACAAATGCTTTGATATATAATGTATGACAGCGTATATGTAATAAGAAGTAATGTAGTAGGACTACTGGTGATCGCATGTTAGAAGTACTCGTATGTATGGAAAGATATGATTTTGCACAATGATGAAAATGTGTTAATTACATATAAGTGTAGTAAACATGGTTAAGAGTAATTGTGGTTAAAGTGGTTACAACTGGTTATTGAGGGCATTGAGTGCAATGTTTGTTGAAAGGCTTAATGTATGAAAAGGACTTATAATAAGGGCAAAGGTTTACAACGGATGTATGGTTTGAATGTGCTGTTCGATGTTCGGGACTTGTGTTTCGTTACCATTTAAATAATTTTCACACATAACTTATTACAATCATTATTTTATTAACTTCTATATACAGTAATTAACGATGTAATCAATGTCTAAATTGAACATGGTGGAATAGAGCACAACTCTTTTCATACAATTAGATATAATAGATCTGATTGTTGATTAAGAAATAATTTAATTGCAAAAAAAGTTGGCAAGTTGATTAGCTACAATTGGCCCATATGATGTGCTGTGTTGTGGCAGTGACTACTAACTAGGTGCACACCATGTGGTTGGCCAATAACCAGACAGGCGGGCAGTGCCGAGCAATCCTTTGCACACCATTAGAGGCAATAGGGATGACGGCCGGGCGGTGCACCGAGTGTGCGATGTTGCGGTGATGAATGGGCATGATGGTAAACATTTAAGATGTGTTGTAGTGGACCAGCGTAGTGATGGGCGCAACCACCCGTGGTCACATCCATAGCATAGCATAGTGTATACAGTTATAAATGTATGTATGTTATGCAGTTTTGGTTACTAATAGTGGCCAGAGAACCGAACCCGAACCCCAACCTGACCAAAACCATCCAAACAAACATCTAAATATATAAAATTAATTAATAATTAACAAATTAATACAATAAAGACAATCCAAAAAACTTACTATATGTTAACAAAAAACGCTTACAAAACACATACAAAAGTGCTTATGTACTGAACGGATTGTCAAACACATTCAAATATGGAAAACAAATACAGTTAAAAACATTAACACAAATGATAAAACATTAACAAAAATACAAACTTGACAAAATTTATGTTATAAAAAATACATAATTAACACTAATAAACAGATACATGTATGTACAGGACAAAACTTCACAGTAAACATATATTTAATTAGAAAAAACACTTAACTGACATAAATGAAACAAAAAATGTAAATCACTGTAAAAATTTGTGACGGACGGATCCCTATATTATGTGTTAAACAGGATGTGTGCACAAAGTCCGACACAAAGGGATTTGTTCAGTGCTAATACTTAAATGGCCCAAAATTGCAAATAAAAAATTTCAAAATTTTTTTAATTTGTAAAAATCATGATCATTGTAATTATAATTATAATTCATGTAAATGGACTAAAATAAAAATATTATACGCCATAAATAACGCGTATAATTGTAAGTAAACTTCTTATTCTTACTGTAACTTTGGTCACTGACGTCAGAATTTAAAAATTCTTTTAGGATATCACTCCTCTCCCTCATACCTTTCCATTGATATATAATATGATATACTTATTCATAGAATAAAAGATTTGACGTTCGAATTTTCCCCATTAAAAGTGGTCACTGCGGTCAAACCAGAGGTCACTTGACCATATGTATTATATCACTCGATTCCTTAGAGAAAGTACTTTCATTTTATAACAATAATTCCCGGTTGCACGCTATCCCCAAAATGGGCATCCTTCTTTTAGTATAAATACAAGACAAAAAACCATTGTAACTTCAATCATTATTTCGATAAAGTTATTTTATAATAACTTACGAGTAATTGATTCACCGCGAGTTTGGCGAATGTAGGGACGACTGGCGACTCGGATGGCCTTTCCCGTAGGGTGACCACCAAAAATCCTCTTAAAAAAGGACGACTGGTATAAAATAGTCATTAAAAAAAAAGACAAAAACAGGACGCAAAATTTTTTATCACTATGCACTGTCCTTTGTTTTCTCACACATTTTAAATGAGTATTTAAATGAAAACACTTGTAATGAACAAAATTATTTAATTTTGATAATAGTTTTCTATTAACAACTACAACATTTTTAATATATACGTCTACTTTATTATTATTTACTGTTTCTGTGCTGTACTATCTAAGCTTTACAGCGCAACAGTGCATAGCAATCAATGATATTTCTCATATTTTAAAACATATTAGCCTTTTTATATTGAAATTTCTAAAATTAAAAAAAGGACGCGTCCTTCCCGACACTGTTTTCAGAGGTCGAAAAAAGGACAAAACCCACAAAAAAGGACGTTCTGGTCACCCTAACGAGTATACAAAATTTTAATGCTAGAATAAAAATAATTTCCGTGAAATAATTAGCATGTTTTAAATGATGTAAAACGGATTATATTATATTATTTATTTATTGTATATGTTAATAAAATACAATAGCTAATAAATTGTTTTTTAACTTGTTAATTATTTGTTGATACATCTAACATTGTTAAATAGTATTTTAAAATTTAACATAATTAGTTTTAATAAAAATAAATGTATAGTTTAAATAAATTAATTAGATCATATGCAAACTAATCAAATAAACTATGATAGAATAGATAGTTAATTAACAAAAAATAAATTTTAACTATTTAATAATGAATGACAAATTAATCTAGCTCAGATTAATTGCGTGATATGTGGGACTGTATTTAGTGATGGATCAATAATATATTGTATATTTCATAATAATTAATAACAATATTTAATGATAACAAATATGTCACAAAATGTAATGATTTTAAAAGCTAAAAATACAAATCAGTTGTTACCATAATTCATTATTATTATTTTGACAAATGTATTGTAATATTGATATATTATTACAACACAAATGATAAATATATTTGATTTGATATTTTAAAATATATAATAATGCCATTAATATTAAAAAATATCAATCAAAACACAAATCAGAATATTCTGTGGTTTATAATTAACTTTAATTGATTTATTGGCAAAATATAATAATCTATTTAAATTTTATATAATCCATAACTTGATTGAGTAATTTACAAAAAAATGATAATCGATAAAATGTTTTATTTTTAACATAGATGTTTATGTTGGCATTAATATCGCATTACACTAACCCTCTATATTAATAATATATATATATAAATTATTGTATTTTAATCTATACGCCCACTAAATATTTATCATAAACAGTGCCTAATAACTACCGTTGCCTTTACCTTCATCATAAATACCGATAGTATAATATATGAGTTAAATTATATTCAAATATTATATTCTTTATTAATATTCCGAGAGAGAGAGAGAGAGAGAGAGAGGGAGGGAGAGAGACTAATAATCTATGCATATATTCATTAGGAAATTGAAGAAACAAAATAAATTCACAATTCATTTACAAAATAATATATTTAATGCAATAATAAGTGCTTTAATTATTAGTAATGAGTATTAAAATGAAAAAATTAATGCGCGAGTATTTAAATCATAAAATATTTTGTTGTATAATATACAAGAATATTCTGTATATAGCATGTATGAATTTACATATATTCTTGGTATAGCATATAAAATTCATTAATAAAAACCATTAAAATTTGCTTATACATGTTATTTATAGCTACATTTTTAATGACAATTATATGCACATCAAAATTCTATGTCAAGAATATTCTGTGTCTGATATTAATACTAGTGGAAAATGAATTAATTCACATTATTTGACATCATATTCAGGTTTGCAATGAATATTTTGCAACTTTATATATATTTATTATATATAAGATATAGAAGTCAGCACTTATACAGACTTTATATAACTTAACATTTTATTTAAAACAATTAAAAATAACTAATTTAATATTAAATTGTAATAAAAATTTTATATAAATTAAGTAATTATTTTATAAACATTAGAAAAAAATATTACTAAACAATAATTGCGATTTACAA